TGAACTTGGGGCCATCTAGAACAGCTGTTAGTTGCTTGATAATATTCTCACCGTTTCGCCGCTCTATTAAATTTAACACTATTCTAGTTACAAATTGTTCAGCAATTAGAGTCAATTGATAAATCAATCAATAGAAGAAAGCATATGAAAATGTCAAAGCTACCTCTGCCTCTGCCWCTGCTCAAATTGCAAATTGCCAATTAACCGTGGCAGGTGCCGCATCCAGGGATGGAGGAGCACAAAATGTATTTCATTTCTGTTATAAAATCGTTTAGTATAAGCGAAATACATATATATAATCATGTATATAATGTATATGTATATATTGTAATATAATATACATGTATATAATCGTGCTCATCAGAAGGTCATGCCTTGGGGGTTAACATTGGGTCTCCACCTCATTCACAATAGCATTCTTGTTATTGTTATTGTTGTTGCTGCTTCTTCTGTGTTCTGTGCTTTCAATTGCTAGTATTCTCTTATTTCCCAATTGATGAACCGATTCTGATTGAGTGCCAGAAAAGATGCGACCTCATGGCGCGTATTCAATGTCAAGTGCGTCCATAGATAGCAAATTGTTGTTGTTAAGGAAATCGGAATCGGATTCGGAATCGCCATCGTCATCGGCATTGTCATCACAGTCGTCACGGGCGCCACACTGCACACAAGTGCAATTAAGTTTACGTTTGGTTTTCCAGTCAAGGTTAAAGAAAATATAAAATGTCATTTTCTTTTATTTCCAAGCCTGTCCGTTTGCCTGCTCGTCCTTGCACCGGGCCAAGGATCTGTCCTCAGTTGCCTGTTGCTGTGGCGAGGTCGTTCCTTGTGACGTCAGCACAGCTGTCCTTAACAACTGCTATTGCCGTTGTCCAAAATACAATTATCGTCTGACGTTTTTAGGATTGCTTTTAGGATATGAGGACACATGCCCTTCACAACTGGGGTAGATTTTTTATCAAATGTGTAATATTCGAACATAGGCAGACAGTTGTGTTCATGAAAATAACAGTTGGAAAATACATATATTTTAAAATGTGGTATATGTAAGACGTTATATAAAATATAAATGGTTATAGGTTTAAACCTAGTCCATAAATAGTAATCCTAACTCCTTTAAGAAGTATCACTTCTATTTCAATTTCTTAATATAACTACTAATGAATCCTATATAAGTTTCATAGGAACGATTGTTTCGGGCTTACAGGGAATACCTTATACTCGTATCAAAATGCAATCTCTCGCCCTTAGCCCGCATGCTCATACAAAAGCTTGCCACAATTGTTGCAGTAACTGTGTGTGTGCTTATGTGTGTATGCGTGCGCGACTGTTATCAGCAACATTCAATTCATGTACTCACACTTGAATTATGTCTTTGCTTTTTGCTGTTACTGAAATGTGAAATACAATCAAACAAGTTTAAGTAATAGGTCAAAATTAATTTACAGAAATAATATTGAAATAAATAAAAATTNATCGATTAACTTTATATACAACACAAATTTGAAGACTCCAGGTCTAAAAATGTTCAAATTAGGCTAAAAAAACAAAATCAATTTTTCGATTATTCTCGATAAAAAAGTTATCGGACGATTTATCGAAAAAATAAAGCAAACTCGTACTGCGTATGGTACACACGAGTATGCATGCCAAATTTCAGCTCTCTAGCTCTTATAACTTCTGAGATCGACGCACTCATACGGACGGACGGACGGACGGACGGACGGACGGACGGACGGACGGACGGACGGACAGACGGACAGGGCTATATCGACTCAGCTCGTCACGCTGATCAAGAATATATATACTTTGTGGGGTCTGCCACGCCTCCTTCTGCCCGTTACATACTTTTTCACAAAACCATTATACCCTGATTTCCCATTTTCAATGGGTTCAGGGTATAAAAATATATTAACTTTTAGAGCTTATGTATGGGAAAGCTAAAGTCAGTTTTTTTTTAGTTTTTAACTTTTAATAATTTCGCACATTGCTTGATGTTTGTTTATTTGTAAAAGCCAAGCAGCTGTATCATTTAAATAAAACTTAGATAGCTTTGGCCTCCTTATCTTGTTTACTGGAACCGGCAACTTGCTTACTGGATGCAAACCGCCCCGCATTAGCTATGCATATGGGGAATACCCGTAATAATCGGCTCTCGCGCAGCCAACTTAACAATTAGTTATATAGAGTAGTGCTGCCAGAATACAGAGAAGTAAATTTTGAATAAATTATAAAGTAAGCAATATCTTTAAAGCTTTGTAATTAATATTTAACCCAACAACTTTGCTGTTTCCTATTCGAGTTGTAATTAACGCACGCATCAATAATGGATTTATTAAACTTTGTAATATCAGCACTCATTACAAACATATGCATTTATAATTTATTGTCTTCGTGTCTCCTTGATGGCGCCTTAATCGGCTTACAGCCTTAGCCTTTCTGGCTAAGAGAACACACTTGGCATACTTAATTAAACATTTACGTTTCGCTCTTTGTTGGGCTGCCTTTTAATTACATTTTGCGCATTCGTGCACCGAAGTGAATGTAAACGTTAAGTGCAATTAATTAATTAATTTTAGATGAGCTGCGAGGCAGTGGCAGAGGCAGAGGCGGGGGCCGACATCAAGGTCGGTCATTGGCAGTAAATGAAAGTCTTGGCTTTTCGATGTACGCACTTTATCAAGCATATTTGATTGATACGCGTTGTTCGTGTAGTACCATGTCTCTAAGCATCTAGCAAATGGCCATAATAAATCTGGCGCTAAGCAACAAATGGCCGATCAACTGCAAAGTCGCTTTTATTCGCTTTGGCCAATAGCTGAGAGCAGATGGTGTGAGAGAGGGCCAGAGTGAGAGGGAGAGCGAAGAGCGCGAGAACTTAAGTGTGCGAGCATGCGTGTGTGTGTGTGTGTGTGTGTGGCGACAGTCATTGAACTATTTACTCACGGCCTTGCATACATAAATACTAGACATAATGCTCATACCTAAAACATGGCCCCAAAAAGAACCGAACGCTAAGAGACCTACACACACACACATACACACACACACAGCAAACACAAATACACACACATAGATTGTTTCGCTTATTGCACGTTTAATTGTTGTGTAAACAAATGGAATTGCCACATGTTGTAGCAACAACAGCAAGAGCAACAACAACAACAACAACGACGCTGACGTCGGCATTGAGTTTTGCTTCGCTTTCGACTCAACATTATTAATATTATTATTTTTTTTATTCAAGTTTTTCGTTAACTTCGGCTTATACGTTTTCCATACCTATGCCACACATTCATCGATTCGCGTGTGATTCATTTTCCTGTATACATACACACATATATATGTATGTATGTACAATTTTTTATGATTTTATTTGTTTTGGTCATTCGCTGGCGTTCACTGGAAAACTAACTGGAAACCTTATAATTAAGCTACATATCTGTTGTTATTGTTTTTGTTGCTGCTGTTGCCCTCTTGCTTTTCCCTTAAAGCGTTTTTATTTTATTTTATTTTATTTTTTTTTGCTGGCTTTTTTTTTTTTGTACGCAAAACTTTTGCAATTGCTTTGGCCGCGGCCCGCTTACTCACCGCCCTCCTGCCCACTCGTGCTGGCTTGTCGAACTGCGCAGTTTGTGCGGAGTCAACGCTTTTTCGACGTGTTTGCCTTTATAATAAACACATTTCGTATATTTCTGTTTCCTTCCAACGCATTTAGCGTTTAAGCTGCGCTGCTCTCGGGCGCGTTTTTATTTCATATTTAAACAGATCACAAATGCATAAATAAAGCAAAAATATACATACACATAAAAATATATATGTACGTAAGGGGAAGAAAAGGTGCAAAAGCAAAAGTTAAACAAGTTCAGCTGCCGTTAACTTGATAGCTAACAGAGCGAGCGAGATAGAGCTATAGAGGGAGCGACAGAGACAAGGCGAAAGAGAGCTAAAGAGAACGAGCAAGTTTAGAGCGTTTTAGTTGTCCAGCTTCAAAATAATTGAATATTTAATTTATTTAATTAGCGTATTTAATTAAAAAGAATACAAACAAAAAATCGAATGCATAGATACCTCACTTTGCCTAGAAAATTTGATTTATTTATTTGTAGTTTTTACTTTGAATATGCATGGCGCAGTTCAGCTGTTTACTATGATTTATACACAAAGAGCTTAAGAAAGAGAGAGATCTGGAAACATCTAGAGATAATGCTAATAGGTGTCGCTTTGTTTTCTGAATCAGCATCTTGAGCAACAGTGGTCACTCGCTATGAATACATCATTTGTAATACTGCTTCATTCAATGATAAACGTAACTCATATGTTATAATCAGTCTATATTGTTTAATCTAAGAATTTAATAGAGTTATTCTTACAAAGAAATTATTTACACGTATGAAGTTAATAATAATATAAACTTAAAGTAGCTATAAATACAACATAATATATTTAATCATTAGCAATTTCAATAAAGCTAATTAATTTAAATAATATCAAGCACTGGGCATGGTGCAATATTATTGTAGATAAGTCCCTCAGATCTCGAGAATTACAAGAAATGCAATTTTGCAATTTTTTTTTTTTAATTTAATTCCATATTTTCGCAATAATCTAATATAACTTTATAATATATGGGACTGTCTTTCATGTCAGTAAATTATGACAGCGCAAAGCAATCTCTAAGACTTTATAATTCTGTATCAAGTGTATCTACATCCGCCGATATTGTTAATCATATCGAACGTGCACTGTGTGCATTTCGCGTGCAAGATAGTGGGGCAGTCGGTAATATCGCCACTTACCGAGTTACTCACCTCAGCTGCGTTTGCTCCATTACGTGATGAAGTGCTTGTGAAATGTTATGGATTGGCAACGCAACTGGTCAATGGCATGAGTATGTGTGTGTGTGTGTCTCGCTTAGTCATCGAGTGTATCCTGTACCAGTTATATGCAGACCTGAAACACCCTCATAACGAATGTTTGTTTTCATCTACTATTTGCAGGCTGATGACAAATCCTTGCTGGCACGCTTCTACCATGCCGATCGTTCGTTGACCGCCGTGGCTAGTGAGCTGGACAGCTTCGATGGACGCGCCGAGCCTGATCGTTGTACGCGTCTGGTTAGCAGACTGCGACAGAATCAGGTAAGTGTGCCTTTCATTCCCTATTTTCCCTAGCTTATCCGTTACTAACGGGATTGCATATTGCAGGACAAAGTGCTGGCCATAACAAATTTGATTATGGAGGAGCTGCTGGGCGACGAGCGGGATCCGCGCGCCTTTCGCGCCAAATTCCCAGAGGAAGTGCTGCAGGATAACCTGGCCGGGCAACTGTGGTTCGGTGCCGAGTGCCTGGCCGCCGGATCGTCCATATTGAACCGGGAATCCGAAAGCAAGGAGATGCGTCCGCTGGCGCAAGCCGTCACCAAGAGTCTGGGCAATGTGCGCGTGCTGCTGCGTGATCAATGCCTGCGCAACAATGTGCCCAACAGCAAGACTTTGCACCTGGACTTCAACGACTCAACCACCGAGCAGCTGTACGAGAGCCTGAAGATCTTCGATCATCTGTTTGCCGAGTTCGAGCTGAGCTACGTGAGCGCCATGGTGCCCGTTAAATCTCGCCACGAATACGAAATGCAGCAATGGATCGGTGTGCTCTTCTCGGAGACGCTGCAGCGTGCCCTCAAGATCGGGCTGCTCGAACAGGAAATGGTGGATGCGTTCGATCCGGGCCTCATGTTCTCCATACCCCGACTGGCAATCGTCGCTGGGCTGGTTGTCTTTACCAAGGGGCCGCTTAATATGGATATGCCGGGCGATGAGCTCTCCGAGATGTTTCGTCCGTTTCGCACAATACTTATTAAGATCCGGGATCTGCTGCGCAACCTGAGCAAACAGGAGCTGCATCAGCTGGAGAAGTTGCTCTGCACGAATGAGGAGATCAATACGAACGTAAGCATTGGTCTTCGAGTTTTCATTCTCAACTTGTATTTAATGTTTTTTCTTAATACATTAGCAGGTGCCCCTGGGCTCCAGCAGCATTGAGGCGCCCAGTCCTGAGCATAACAACACCCCCAGCAGCACCAGCAACAACAATAATAATAATAATAACAGTTCCAGCAGCAGCAGCAGCAGCAGCAGTGAGAGCGGCAGCAACACAGCGAAAACCAGCACAAGTAGCACGCACAAAGCCGTGGAACGCCTGGTGGATCATCGCAACAACAACAATAGCAGCAACAGTAGCACAGTAGCAGGTGCGGCCCAACCGTCAACTGCGCGTTCTCCGTCCACGTTATCGCTGTCAGCGGGCAGCACACCCACAGCCTCACCAGCGCCTTCGCCCACGCCCTCACGCTCCATAGCATCCACTTCGTCGGCGGCAACAACGTCCACCAATCCGCCAGCGAATTGGAGCGATTATGACGAGGACGATGAGGACCTGGAGGAGGAGGTGGGCATGCTGGACAGCGATGAGGACGACTTGAATGATGATAGCGATGATGACATCGAGGTGGACGAGTATATTGAGGCGCAACTGAAGGCGATTGTGGCAGCTGCCGACTGTGCCTCTGGCTACCTGATACCCAACACAAATCTGGGCAATCTGTTCAGGGCGCAGCAGCTGCCACTCACGGACAACATCGTGGCCAGCGAAGACGACGAGTTTGGCAGCAATGCGGCAATGGAACGTCAGCAGCAGCAGCAGCAGCAGCAGCATATGGACGAGCTGCAGTCTGGGGACCAACAGCAGCAGCAGCATCAGCTGCAGGATGAGCCGAGTACGAGTGCTGCCATGTTGGCGGCTCAGCGCACATTGCAGCGTCTCCATTTGCCCAGCAGCAGCAGCGAGAACGAGCAGGCGCCCAGCAGCAATCAGCAGACGACAATCAAGACGCCAAATGGCAATCAGTCAATGCCCAACAGCAGCAGCAGCAGCAGCAGCAACCACAACAATAATCGTCATCGGCACAGTCACAGTCACAGCAGTCACCATCATCATCATCATCACCGCCACCATCATCATACCCATTCCCATCATCAGCAGCAACAGGAGCAGCGACTTCAGTCAGCTGATCATCACCATCATCATCATCATCATCATCAGTCGCATCCACATCGCATAAATCGCAGCGCACGCACACGTTGCAGCCAGGAGCACTGGGAGCCGACAGCTAATAATGCGGAGCAGCCAGCACCAGAGCAGACCCCGGGCAGCGCCGATACCAGCAATGCCTCATCCTTCTCCGACGAGGTGTCGCTGGCCATGCGCAGCACGACAGCGCGTTTGAAGTTCAAGTGAGTAGTCAGCTGCTATAATCCTAAACCTTTTACATTCTAATTCACATCCATCCATCTGCAGAAGCACGGAGAATCTGCTGCATCGTCTGTTTGTCTGTATTGCTGGCGTCGCCGATCAGCTGCAGACGAACTTTGCCTCTGATCTGCGCCAGATATTGCGCAGTGTGTTCCTTATAAACATGTCGTCGTCCCAGGACGAGGACATTGATATACCCGAAAAGACAAAAGAATCGGAGCTATTCGAGTTTCGTGCCTCTGAAAATGATGTGATACAGGAAAGCGCCGGCTCCAATCAAAGCATTTACTCAGCCGAGGAGGTCAATCCGGAGCTGGACAATGTGTTCAACAACACCAACACAGCTGTCCGCCACTCAGCGGGCGCGACGATGCAGCGCAACAATACGATAGATTTGGCCAGTGGCAATAACAACGGCAACACAAATGCCGCGACACGCAACCATGTGGCACGCAGTCGCAGCTTGGGTGACCAGGAGGCAGCCGGCAGCGGACCGATACAGGATGAACAGCGACAGCAGCAGCAGCAACAACAGCAGCAACTGCAGCAGCAGCTGCAAATGCAGCGACAACGCAATAATTCCGTCGGCAGCAATTCACCCTCTAGCGCCTCCTCCTCTAGTTCCAGCTCGGAGCACAATTCGCCTATTAGCACGCGCAGTGGCAGCCGAAGGCGGCTGCATAGCAATTCGTCCATTGGCACCACGTCGACAATAACACCAAGCACAGCAGCTGCAACAGCAACCACCTTGTCGCCGCCTGCCTGGATACCCGATGGCAAGGCGCCACGCTGCATGTCCTGCCAGACGCCATTCACGGCCTTTCGGCGGCGTCATCATTGCCGCAACTGCGGCGGCGTCTTCTGCGGCGTCTGCTCCAATGCATCCGCCCCGCTGCCCAAGTACGGTCTGACCAAAGCTGTGCGCGTCTGCCGCGAATGCTATGTGCGCGAGGTGCGCTCCTCGCGGCAGGCGCCGGCGCAGCCATCGCAGGCGCACGGCCAGGCGAGCAGGCCGCAGGCAGCGAGCGCATCTTAGGAGTGGCCACTGGCGCCACCAACGCCGAGACCAAAAATGTGCCCCACACCAAAATTGGAGCCCGACCAATGGAAGGAAAAGCAAAACTGTGAAACGCAATCGTTGTCAAAATTGTTTTCGTTTTTTATACTTTATATACACGCGCAACATATATCCAATTCCCAGATATAAGAAGAGAAATGAATCAGATATGCACATATATAACTATACACAGTGGTGTGTACAATTTATATATGTATGAATAGAAATGAACCGATAAATTTATTATTTTAAACAAATTGACCAATCGAGCGTCGTTATCCAAACTGTACAATAAAGCTTCGATCTATGTATTATACGCAACTATCCATGTAACTATATATGTATGTATACATATATACTATATACTAATTGTAAACAAATGCTTTCAGCTCATATCATATATATCAATGCAACATATAACACACACAAACACACACATATATATAAATGTATGTCAATGTCAGCTAATGGCCTGCATTTCAAATAGATCTATTTCGGTTTTGGGACTGCGCTTAATTGAAATCGTTCTGTCACGTTTAAGATCTAGATTCTAGATTATAAAATGTATATATATTTTTGTAGTATGTGCAGCAAACTGAGCAGAAAAATAGACATAAATTCTAGCGAAAATTTGCAAAAAAAAAAAAATGAAAACATTATTGTGATTTATTGTTATTTATATGCCCTGATGTTTCAGCTCTATGCAATTTAATCAAATCTAATACGAAAAAAAAAACCTTGACTTTATATGCAGGGCCTATGAATCCCCATAGTCGGTATATATCGGCTATTGTGTTCTTACATTGTACGAAATCCATTTTATGTTAAACAAGTCTTTAAGCTAGCGAAAAAATTCAGTTGAACCCTTATAAAAACGCAGTTTTACACACAATATACATATATGCCTATATACATATATATATTTTTCTGACTTGAAATAAAAACTAATAAATTGAAAAACAAAAAACGATTTATTGAATTTAATGAATATAAATATAACATATTTTTGCTTAATTCAATAAAAGAAAATTCAAAAACTTATTGGCTCGCAATTCATTTGAGGTTTGGAATGGTGATAACTGTGGGGCTTAATATATGTATATAAAAACTTATTTATAAAATTTGGTATTAACATTTTTTTTTATTCATATCTCACCTAACAGTAAAGTCAAAGCATAAAAAGTTAAGAACTGGTTTTTGTAAACTTTTCAATTTAGTTTACACTTGAATTTTGTTCGCTTTAATTAATTTTTTTTGTTTGTTTTCCGGCCTTTAACTAGTTTATCGTAATAGAAAATATTTTCCATTGCTTGAATTATACGTTCTGTAAATGGAAAACATGTTAACGAAAAATTCGTCGAAAATTTCTCGAAAGAGAAAAACCACTTATGCGACAGATTTGGACGCCTGGAAAACACTGGAATTCAATAGAAAGTTCAGAGCCAGCATCGATGTGGCACAATTGGATCTGATTGAGGATCTGGACGATGAGTTCTTTAAAATATCCTACGAGCTGGTACAGCAACTGGTGCCCCTGAATTGCTTCATGGCCAGCAAGATGAAGGTCTTCGTGGACATTGTGGCCCGGCTGCACGCCCATTACCTCAAAGAAATGCGCACCGCCCAGGAATTGAAGCAGACAATCAATGCCGCCAATGCGAAACTCAGATTGGCCATCGAAGTAACGGAGGAGTCGTCTTATGTAATGGAGGCACTGCGCCTTTCATTGGAGGAGGCGTGGCGCACCATAGATGCTTCCGAATATCGAGAGTCTCTGCTGGGCGAAACTCATGGAAAAGCGGCCATAAAAGACCAACCTTCCGAGGCATTGGACAATCTGACCTATTGGAAAAATCCGTAAGTACTATATGTACATATATGCATATGTATGTGTATCGCTCACACTCGCCCCCTCCTTCAGTAAGGAATTGTATGTACGGTCGTTTGTCTATCGGGAACGCGATCGCTTGGCCGTAGAACTGAGGGAGTATCAGAAACGACTCGAGCTAAATCGCACCTATTCGGCTACTGTGGAGGCCATCAATGAGCAAAATATTGAAACGATTAGACAACAGCATTTGCACATGAAGCAAATCGAAGCAGAGCAATCGAACGAGGAGCAAAAGTATCGTATGGCAATTGAGCAACTGGAGGGCAAGATCGAGGCTCAGCGTAAAGACATTAAATGCCTCACCCACATGAATCGTGAGCTGCGGGAATTTGAGAGAAAATATAACGAGTCTCTATCGATCGTCGGTCGCCTGAAGCAGGCCATCGAGCGCCTCAGCCATGACAATTACAACTTGACAAAGACCAATCATCGGATCGATGAGGCATATCGGGTCAGGCAAATAACGCTCGCGAATTTAGAGATTACGAACAAAGCGATGAATATCGAAAAGGCTGAACTGCTTCAAGTGATTCGTCGACTGAAATGCGAAAGAAAAAGCAAAGATTTTCTCTTTAACCAGCTGAATCGACGATTTCATCTGCTCTCTAAGAAGAACACCAATTTGATGTCGCAGAAAAATTGTCTTAAGTAAGTTTCCATAAAACTTCAATTGAAGCATTCTATCACAATTCATGCAGGCAATCAATCAATCAATCAAAAGTTATTTAGTATATTAATAGGGCAATAGGTATAACAGCGAGGACACATGCCCGTCAAGCAATCAATGACTAAGATAATCTGTCAGTCTGTCACTTAGATATTGTCATACACTTATGTAAGTCTGTTAGACTATCAACCAATATACCAGTAATTTTGTCAGTCTACGACACTCAATCAGTTAGTCAAGCAGTCAGTCACCCATTTTTGAGACAATGATAAAATGCCTTATAGCCAGTGATTCAGGCAATCAATCTGCCAATTAGAAAATCAATCAATTTTCAGTTAGTTAGGTAATCAATCAATCAATTCTCGGGCGCATCAGTCATCAGTCTAGTACTTAAAAATTTAACCCATCAATCAGTCTTAGAGAATCAATCAGTCAATCAATCCAATGCAAGTCAATTAGGCATATCAATAAATTAATGAAATTTTATTCAATCAATCAATCAATCTAGTGCGGCTTATCCGCATTTTAGTCAGTCGATCAATTTAATGCAGAAGTCAACCAATTGATCTTCAGAACAATCAGTCAACCAATCTGTTCATTATTTTGTCTAGAATTCAGCTAGTCAATCAACAAGTCAATCATCTTCCAGCAGTATTATATAGCCTTTCCATCCTCCAGTAATAAGGTAACTGGCCTCGAGAAGAACATGCTGGCATTGACAACGAAATTGAACGAAATAGTCCACATTAAGGACGAAGCTGTGCGGGTGCAGACGAAACTGCAAGCGGATCTGAAGCACCAGTCGGATGTGATAGCTTCCCTGCGATACGACCTGGCCGTACAACGTAGTCACTCGCAGGATGTGCAAATAATGCTGGATCGGGCGAACCGGACACTGGACGAAAAGGATGTCCGGATACACAAAATCAACAAGGAGAAGCACGATGTTCAGTTGGAGAACAGCGAGCTGAGCCGATCAATCGAAATACTAGAGGGTAAGTGCCCGCATACACAGACATCCTGAGGTGCTTATTCGATTCCTTGCAGCGAAAATCGTGGTGAAGACGGAGAAAATAAAGGAACTGAAGCAGAAACTGGATGCCAAGCAGCAAAGCTATATGAAGGCAAAGAAGCAACTGGAAATAATCCACACGGAGAAGACGCTGGTGGAGAATAGCATGGAGCTGTGTGGACGTGACCGTCAGAAGCTGCAGAGTCTGAATGGGAAGCTCAGCTTTCAGATCAATCAGATGTGCAAGCAGCTGGCCACTAACGAGAAGGAGATGAACCTGCAGAGCAAGCGCATCGATCACTTGGACAATCTGCTCAAGCACAAGCAGAACGAAATCCACAGCCGGGAGCGGCAGGTGGAGCAGATACGCGCCGAGCTGGCCGAACTGAAGGTGCTCAACCAGCAGCTGCACTGCACCATCGATCGGGACACCATGCGGTTCAAGCAGGTCTCCATCCGGCTGGAGGAGGTCAACAAGGAGAAGATGGTGATCGGCCAGCAGATTGTCCGGCGCAACTGCGAGCTGCACGCCCTCCAGGAAAAGCTGTCCATGCTCCAGATGGCCATGAGTCGCGGGACCACCCAGTACAACCAGCGGGTCGAGGATATCCGCCTGCTCAAGGCCGAAATCAGCAACCTGCGCATGTCCAATGCCTGCATGCAGCGCTCGATCACGAATACGGCCAACATGCGCCAGGAGGTGGTGCGGATCGAGCGCCAGCTGGTTCGTGAACGCCTGAACGTGACGGCGTTCACGGAGGAGATGAAGTACCCGTACCGCATCCATCGCTGGCGTGTGCTGGTTGGCCGAGATCCGAGCAAATACCAGCTGATACGCAAGATCCAGGTGCTGCTCAAGCGCAATATCAAGCTGAGCGTAGAGCGCCTGAATATGGAGCACAAGGTGCAGGACATGCAGAAGCTATGCGATGCGTTCAAGAGGCAGGTCCAGCACATGCCCGATCCCAGCATCGTGCAGCGGCTCTGGGTGCAAAAGCGGATCAATCGCCGGCAGAGCCGCAAGGTCAATGCCATGAAAGCGGAGCTAGCCATCAACGAGATCGACAGGCAGTCGCGCGACATACTCTTAAAAGAGTACCAGACGGCCATCTCTAAGGGTTACTTGGCCTCCAACCAGATCGTCACCACACTAATTGGCGTCCTTGACGTTAGCCGGCCAGAGGTACCGGCCGCCACCGTCTTCCAAATGACGCCCAGAAACAGCAACCTATCGCTGGACGTGAAAGAGGTACGCTCTGCCTACGTGTTGAAGTGAAAGCAAGGGAAGAGAACTCAGCTCAGGTGATGGTGTCACTGTCTTTATTTCGTATGGATGCCGCTAGAGCAGCTGGCTGATCACCTTGAAGCCGGCGCCGAGGGTGCGCGGCAGCTGCGCCGGCGCCGAGTAGCAATGCGCCTGCATCTGCTCCAACAGCTGGCGCTCCTCGAGCAGTTTCTGCTTGCGCCGCTTCTCCTCCAGCAGCTGCATCTTCGTCTGCGCCAGGGTGCCGCGCAGCTCCGCTAGCTGCTGCGCGTTGCAGCGTTCGCCAGCCTCCCGGGCACTCAGCTCGGCCAGCAGCACCTTCAGCTTCCGATCCTTGGCCGAAAGACTGGCCTGAAACGAAGAGATCATAAAGATTATATATTTTTTTAATACGTACTGGAAGCGTTTCTCTGTGGAAAGGGCATTGGGTGGAGCCTCACCTTGACTGTATTGAGCTGCGCTTGGACCCGGTGACTGGGCAGCTTCAGCATGAACTCCTTGAGTGCCGCATAGAGCTGCTGGGCCTCATTGAGCGCCCGCTCCTGCTCCAGTGCGGCCACGTTTTGGCTGAGCAGCTGTTTGCGCAGGACGTGAATGCGCTCGAGCAGATCCATTTTCTCGGGATCCTTGCCGCGCAACAGGCGCCAGCGGTGCACGTTCATGGGCGTCATCATTTCGTCCTGCAGGGCGCGTGCCTTGATGCGCTCCTGGTTCAGCAGGCGATGCATCTGGAGCAGCTCCTGGCGCAGATCGGCGGCGCTCTCACGATCCGCACGCAGCACGTTCCGCTCGGTGCGCAGATTCTTGATCTCGACGCCCATCAGGCGCATGTCCTCCTGGCACTGGTTGCACTGTCGCTCCGACTGATCGTAGGCGTTCTGCAGGTTCTCCAGATTGTGCTGGAGTCGTGCGTACTCCTCGTTGCGCCGGGTTAGCGCCGCACTAATCGCGTTCTTCTCGTTCATCAGATTGTCAACGTCCTTGCGCAGCCGAGCGAGACGCTGCTCATCCTCCTGCAGCGACTTGGCATGCCGATCGTTCTCCTTGCGCTTGTCCAGCAGCTCGGCCTTGGTGTGCTGCTGGCCCAGTTGGGCGTGGCGCACGTCGTTGCGCAACAAGCGGCGCTCCTTCTCCATGCGATCGATCTGCAGCTGCAGCTTGCTCAGCTCCCCGTCCCGATAGCTGATCTTGCCCTTGAGCGTCTCGATCTGCGCCTGCAGATGGGCCAGCTGGTCGCGCAGCTTCTGGCGATCCTCCTCAGCGCCTTGCAGCGCCCGCTGCAGTCCCTGCCGCTCGCTGGTGAGCAGCTCATGCTGCTGCTGGAACTTGGAGCACTTGGCCTCCAGATCGCTAATCGTGCGCTTCAGCTCAATCTCGTAGTTCTCCTTCAGATGTATCTCATCTGGCGACGGAAGATTCAGCTGAGATCCCTTTGGGTTATTAACAATTCAATTGACTTACTCTGCAGCATATCGATCTTGTCGATGCCATGCTGAATCTCGTCCATCTTTTTGGCCTTGTCCTTCTTCTGCTTCTTCAGCTCCTCCTGCAGCTTCTTCAGCTTCAAGTCCGTGCTGCTGATGATGTCCTTGAGCGCACGCACCTCGTGCTGCGACTCCTGGTACAGGGCGCCCTGCTGCTCGGCGTTCTGACGCTCGCTCTGCAGCTCCCGCTTAAGCGCATCGCGCTCCTTGGTCAGATTCTCGTTGTTCTTCTCAAAGTGATGCACCACACGACGCATGGACTCCAGCTCCTTGTCCTGCGTGCCCAGCTGTGTTCTGCAAGGCATTTCAAATTAAATAGTGAGAGAGTCAGAGAGAGAGAGGCTAAGTCAGAGCACCCACTTGAGCCGCAGGTTCTCCTCCTCCACTTCCTGCTTGGCCATCTCGATTCCTCCGTATTTCCGTGCGATCGTCTCCTGGGACTTGGCCAACTTGGCGTTGTCTTGCCGCAGCTTGATGAGCTCGTCCTCGCGCACCTTTAGCAGATTGATGCGCTGGTTCAATGCGCGTCTGTTTTTGTCCCGCTCCTGCACCGTGTACTCCAGATCGACGGTAATCTTGGCCAGCTTGTTGCAGGTGCTGTTGTGCAGCGTGTTGAGGTGCTCCATGTTGGTCTTCAGCGAGAGTATTTGCAGATTCTGACGCACTTTCACCTTGGTCAGATGCTCATTGTTCGCCTTGGTGTGGGCTATTTGCTCCAGATACTTGGCCTCCTCACATTTCATGGTGGCCAGCTCCTTGGCCAGGGCATCGCTCTTGCGCTTCAAGTTGCAGGCATCGCTGGACGTTTCCTTTGGGAGGAGAGAGATCCATTAGCAGCTATTTGGGCTAACTTAACCTATATCGCTTACATCCAGCAGCTTGAGCAGCTCCTTGTTCCTGCCCTCCAGTGACTGAATGGTGGCCTCCACCTCCGCCGCATAAGCGCGCTGCAGCTGGAGGCGTTTGTTGAGCTCCTTGATCTCGTCGTTGAGTCGCTCGAACTCCTTGTTGTCATCGCGCCTGCTGCTCCTGGAGCGCCCCTTTTCGTTCAGATGCTCAATCATCTCCTCGGCCGCATCCAGTTTCTGGCGCAGACTCAACACCTCGTCCTGTGCCGACTGCTCGCGTATCTGCGAGGCATCCTTCTGCTTCCAGGCGCCCTCTAAGCAGGCAGTCAAAAACTATTTGTAATCTTCCTGCATTCGCACTCACCTATAACTCCGCGCAGCTGCTCAATGGTGGCCATGTCCAGTTTGCTCTGCTGCGCCGCATTCTCCAGCTGCTGCTCCAGCTCGGCTATTTGCTCACGCAGCTCCTGCGTGCGTGCCTCCTCCAGGCGCAGATCACTCTTGTAGCGAGTGCCACAAATGACCAGACGCTGCACATTGTCCGCATTGTTGGGCGTATCCTTCTGACGCAGCGCCTTGGTTGCCTGCGGGTAGATAAAGGCATTGTTTGATAAAATCCAAGATTAGGGTGAGATGATGCCTTACTTCGGGTATCTTCTCGCATAGCTCCCGGTAGAAGTCATCATCGAAATCGTCGGGCACTAGCGGCTCATCCTCTGATCCGGAAGCCTTGGACATTTTGCATTAATACGAGCTGACTTTACATTGACTGCCCCCCAGCTGGAGCTCTTCGTATCGACTAAACCAGCAGCCGCTACTTTGGCGTCCTGGCAACAAGTTGCCATACCGGCACAAGGCCTCCTAGCAACGACGCCAATCAACAGGTACGGACAAAATTACAATATTTATTAAGTTCACATCTACTGCGTAATCTCTATGGAAACGCTGAGTGCTTAGAGTTAGCTATTCACTAATAGTTAATAAATGCTAAGTTTATGGAATTGTCAGACTTAAAGCTATAAATTATAATTTACATTTCTCTAATTTGACATCACAAAAGCTTCAGATCCTGCGCACTCAAACGCAGGCCACGGACTACGGCCACTCGTCCTCGAAGGGTGCGTCGTGCACAGTGTGAAAGCTTAGACCATTGCCCTCCGGTTTGTGCCATGAGGGCAGCAGCACGGTGCGCCAAAACGATCTAAAATGTGAATATACCCATTAAGTACTCCCAGCAGTGAAATGAAATGAAAACTTTTAATTATCCTACCTGCCACGCACAAGGCCCAGAAACAGTTTCCAGTTCTTTTTGGTGCCGAAATTGTAGGGATTTATGTAGACTCGTTTGAGTTGTAGAAAACGTTTGCGCTCAGCCTCGTTAATGTGCGCCTCGATGCTTGTCTCGCCGCGCGTGATTAGTTTCGCATGCCAGATGGAAAGGCTGCCCAGGGCAATGACCACCGCCACGTTGACCACGGCCATAAACCAGAGGACGCGACGTCGTGTGGGTGTGGCGTCTGGCGAGTCGGCCATAGGTGTGGGCAAATGATGCACAGCCGGCGGCAGCAAAATATCATCATATTCATTTGGATGAGTCTGTTAAGTAAATACAAATATATATTATAGTTTATATTCAACATATATAATTCGTATTAAATCTTACAACTGCTATAACATGTCCACTCTGATTAAATTTCACTGGATGCCCTTCGAGCGGTTCCAGCTCTGTCCAGTGCTCGCTGTGATCGAGCCACAGATATTTGTAGCCAATCTCCACGCCAGCCACAATCAGGAACAGACAACCGAGTGTAGTGTAGACCATATAGAGAAAGAAGTAGCGATGATTGGCGTAGCCAACGCAGTTATTAAGCCAGGCTAAAAGGAAATATATATTATCCGGAGTAACCACAAAATATTTCTATACGCACGACAATGATGATCCATTTTCAATATGCAGCGATTGCACACGGAGCAGTGATGCGTGCGTGGCGGCTTCGGTGAGATGCATTTGCTGCACATGCTCACAGCCTCCACATGAGAGACACCCTCGGGTGGCTGGCCAGCTGGTGTAATCACACCCATTACATAGTGGAAAATTATGTTCAGCAGCAGCCAATTGCCTATGATGAGCAACACTATGGTGGCTGCTTGGCTCTTGGCCCACCAAAAGGGCAGACCAATCCAATAGGCGATGGACACTACGGCAGTGGTTAAGACAGCAGTGCCTACGACAAAGAACTGAGGGGAAAAATAAAATCTGTTACATATCGCATGATCAAACGTTTATACCCGCTACCCTGTAGTCCGACAATTAAATTACTTACCGGGCCCAAGCAGTGGGTATAATTATCCACAATCCAGAAGATGGGCGTCATACACACATCCGTAGCATAGCTGGAGTTCATGTGGGCATTGAACGTGAGCGAATGCCAACAATGCATCATATAGCTCCAGCGTAGCCGAAATTTGGAGCTGCCGGTAAAAGAACAAATTATTAGGGGCAAAATCAATTGACTATCCTGCTCCATACTTACACTAGATTTTGAGTAGAGCTTGTGCGCCATGTAATACGGGCCATTGTGTTAACTTTTAACTTAAATTCTAGCTTTATAAATTAAATATAAATAAATATAGTTTGCATTTTATTGCTTTATTTACAATCAGCTGTTGGTTGCAAAAATAACAATAGTGCTGCACAACGCTGGTAATTGGTGCAAGTATATATAATGAGATATATCGCACTGCCACCACAAATGTTATCGATAGACTACACCGATGAAAATAACGTTATTTTGCTATTCATTTTAGCGAAAATCTCTGCGTTAGATCGTTCTGTATAAGAAACAATAGAAAGCCAGAAACGGTTGAGAATATTATGGTGAACAGCGATCCATCCAGCTCTAGAAGGCCCATTGGCACCAATTGGTAATTAATTGTTTTCACTTCGAGCCACAGCGCATCAACAACTTGACTGAATCGAACATCCGAATGCTGTAAGTTAATGCGCTGCAGTAAATTACCCGTTTCATTGGCCTGCAAGAAAAAATGCATTTTGTATTATATTATCATAGATCAAAAATATACTTACCTCATCTATCACCTGTTGACAGACTCGCGCCAATACATAAATATCTGCCATGGGAACAATGAGGAATACCAGATGCGCCAAGGCTCGCGATATCTCATATGAGGTGTCCAGCATCCAAAAGTCAGCAAATGCCTGGTATTGCGTGTAGATGCCTAGCGTGGTGCTGGTCAGATTGATGGCCATGTATGTGACCATGGAGAAGGCAGTCAGATCCAAATAGTCCATGGAGGAGCTAGTAGAAATAGTATATTTGCTGGCCAGCTCGTCCAGTCGATCGGCCAGGTCACAGAAGCGTCTCATGCGATAGTAGTGCTTGTGCAGCATCATCTCCAACGGAGTCTGCAATCTGTTCACCTCCACCTGAATCTCACGCAGCCGCTTATTGATCTCGATGAGCATATTTCGGGTCACCACTATGCCGCCAAAGAAACAATTGTTCAGCTGATTGCCCAAGTAGATGGGAAACATCGTGTGGATGGTCTTCAGCCAGCTCAGCTCCGGATGCGTGTGCTTCTGGTACATGATCAGTGTCAGCTGCAACAGCAGCGGACACCCAAACAGCTTGAGCCCGGCCAAAAATGTCGCAGGCGCCACAGTGCCCAGCGTGAGCCGGAAGTAGTCCATGGTCTTAAATAAATCCAAGTGATTCTGAAAGCGTAAAATCTCTGGAACCATGGCCCATTGGGTCACATAGTTCAGCATCGCCGCACACGCAAACATAAAACTATAGATCTGAACCGGATCTCGGAGAGTCAGTTGCTTCTCGCTGTACGCCTGCCATAGGTGTCGGCCGTAATAGACGCTGAACAAGGTGGCCACGGCGAAGGAATAAACGGCCAGCGGCAAGCTGAACACGAACTTTTTCCTCTTGAAGTTAAAGCGACAGGGAAATATGCCATAGATAATATTTTGTAATATCAAAATCACCACTGAGACCAGCACCACCTGGCTGCCCGTCAAGGTATTGGACAGGCGTCGGGGCAGACTCCAGAGCGAGCGAAGCCTACGTCGTGCCACCTTCAAAAGCTTCATAATACTGAGCCAATCAAGGGAGCAACCCTCTAATAGGGGCGGCTACCTTATCACAGGTATTTATCATAAGAGCACTTAACAAATTAGGCCTACACTAGATTTAAATCGTTTAACAGAAATGTTTGCTATGATTGGTCTTTTTATGAAAACCTATTAGTTTGACTAATAGACTTCTATTCTCATCTAACTTGGGTGGATTTATGAGAACTTAAATATCATTTAACTCTTTGAATCGATACGTGTAACAAGCCTTAGGTTAATATGGTCTTGTTAAAAGAATAAAAGTGGAAGTGAATAATGTAATTTACTATAAAAATGCTTAAATTACGTGTTGTGTTAATAGAAACTACATAGGACCTCACTCTATTTGTTTTCCTCCACCCATTTTCCCCAAGCAAAAGTTTTTAGTTTTATGAGTTTTTTACTCGTTAATTTGAAATCTTATTACGAGATGATGTACCCAAGTTTTACACATTTTAAGTCCTTTCACATATATCTATAAAAAATATATAAAGAAAATGTCATTCACATACCATAATTTTCAAGTCACATTGCATGCATATTCCAGGATTCCTAGTGAAATTAATTCACATGGAAAATAGCCCCAGTCAATTCAGTTCGCACGCTTTAATTTTTCTAAATAAATTATATTTGACGTTAGTCTTAAATGAGATTTACTGAATCTAAAGTGGTTTGTATTCCAGTTTGGACTCCAGCTTTTTGTTGTCCGCCGTCTTGCGCACGGCCTTCATGAAGTCCTCGTGGATGACATATTCGCGGTCCTCGCGTAGAGCAAAGAGACCCGCCTCTGTGCAGATGTTGCGCAAGTCGGCGCCATTAAACATGTCGGAGAGCTTGACCACCGCCTCGTAGTCGATCTCGCCCTGCTTGGCCAGCGGCGCTGCATGGATCTTGAGTATGTCCAGGCGGGCGATTTCATTGGGCAGTGGTATTTCGAGTTTGCGATCCAAGCGACCAGGGCGTAGCAAAGCAGGATCTAAGGTATCTGGACGATTGGTGGCCATAATTATCTTGACCTGCCCTAAAGCATCGAAGCCGTCCATTTGATTGAGCAGCTCCATCAGGGTGCGCTGTATCTCACGGTCGGCGGAGGTGCCCTCCGAGAAGCGACGGCCGCCAATGGCATCGATCTCGTCCATGAAGATGATGCACGGCTGATGGTCACGTGCATAGGAAAACATTTCACGAATCAGACGAGCGCTCTCCCCAATATACTTGTCCACAATGGCCGAGGAGACCACCTTGAGGAAGTTCGCATCCAGCTGGGAGGCGATGGCACGGGCCAGCAGCGTTTTGCCGGTGCCAGGCGGACCATAGAGCAGACACCCCTTGGGAGGATTGATGCCAACGCGTATGAAGAGTTCTGGATTCAAGAGTGGTAGCTCAATGACCTCACGCAGCTCCCGGATCTGATCGCCCAAGCCGCCAATGGCCGAGTAGTCCACATTGCCGGGATCCTCGTGAGTCATGTTGTACACTTGAGGATCAACCTCGCGCGGCAGATACCTCATAATGGTCAGTGTCGTCATGTCCAGAGCGACACGCGTGCCGGGCTTTAACCTCGCCTTGTTCAGCTGGCGGCGACAGCCAACCACGTAGCGCGGTCCATTAGCGGACTTGACAATGAAGTTGTCTGGCGTCAACTGCTTGAGCACCTCACCCAACATTTGCCCCACACTCTGGAGGGCCTTCAGATCATCCTCGGACTTCTGGAACTCCAATTGCAGTTCCTTGTGCTTGTCACGCAGGGCTTTCAAGCGCGATTCGATCTCGCGATGTTCCAGGAGCTTGGAGCGATAGCTGTTTAATGCACTGAGGCGCTCATCAGTTGCCGCGATTGACATGGCTATAATTTCAATTGGAGTAAAATTTGATTTGTTGACTGGTCTTCAAAACTGCAAATCACGTCTAACGAATTTGACGTTTGAATCTTAAGGGGAGAAAATGAGCTAAGCACAAATTTGAAATTGTCAAAGAAACCAAGGTTGCCCAACCGCTTGAGGAAGAAACGGTCGTGTCTTATACGGGACAGAAGTTGTAGTAGAAGTAAATGTCATCAGAGAATTTTAAGTAAATATGACGTCTCCGATTCAAGTTAGTGACTGATTTCCTTATAATTTACTAGTTGGAATATTTATTACTATATACATTTTTGTTTAAAATTGTATTTGAATTTTACTTCCAGTTGGGATAGTTATCGATAGTTATATACTTTTAAATATCGATTGAGAAATCGCAGTGTAACATTAGAAAAATCAAAACGATAGTAATTGCGTTTGTTTTATTAAATATTTCTTACTATAATACTTTTTTAAGTTAAAATGTTTTAAAATTTTATGTTATGTTATGTTGATATGATAGAAAAACATAGTTGTTGAATATCGGTATCTGTTAATAACAGCTAAGCACATGTTAATGTTAATCTAGCTGTTAAATAACATTCCACCTGGTTGATTGGCCGAATTTTTTTAGTCCACAAAAAAACGCGTCGCAGATGAATTTTAATTTCGTAAAAACGCCCAAAACCTGCCCTCCTGTGTTCGTTCTGCAGCACAAAGTGTTTAATAATGTGCAGTGAGACGATAGATTTAATCAAAATGAATGAATTCAACTGCAATTCAGCAGTGCAATTGGCTGCTGGGAGAGCGAATGTGTAGACATGAAATAAAAGCAAAAATTTACAACGAACTGCGAAAAGCAGCAACAGCAATAGCAACATCAGCAGCAAAAGCACTAGCAGCAGCAGCACAGCCACAAGCAACGTCAACGGATGATTGCTTGGTCGGTCGGTTGGTTGGTTCGTCGATGCTAATAATTTCTCCGGGGGCTCTCTCTCTCTATCTCTCTCTTGCACCCATCTGGCGCTCCGCTGGACAAAGTGCGAAAAGAAAGTATATACATTTATATGTACGTATGTATATATATGTATATGCATATGCATATGAGTGTGCCAGTGTGTCGGTGTGTTTATGCTGTTTAGCAACGAAATCAAACGAATTAGCTTAAGAATGTTTGTGTGCAAATATTAATTATAAGAAACGCAAAAGTGCAAAAATGTTTACAAAGAAATCGCATGCCGATGTTAAAAAGTCGACGGCCAAACTGCAGGATTGCAAAAAGGATTCCGCTTCCCGCCTACGCCACCTGCGCACAATATTAGGTAATGTAATTGAAGCCCCAATTACGACTCTGTCGATAAATTATTTAATAAATTGTAAGCAAACGCCAAGGAAAACGAGTTGTGTATATATATCTTTACATATACAGATGTATGTATGTACGTCTGTTTGCATTTTATTGTTTCTTTTGGCTGGACAGGTGGGCGTTTGGCCATGGTCGCTGATATTTAAATGTAGCAAATATTTAACGACAAATGTGGATTATTATTTAAATAGCAGCGGCGCACGGTGCCTAATGCCATTTCCTGTTGGAATCACAATGGAAAACATACATATAAATACACACATATAAACCCTTTCAGTATACTTTGTTTTGTTCTAACATTGTTAACTGTTTTGTATTAATGTAACTAGACAAACACATTGATGTAAACAAAACACTCATACACATGCATGCCTACGTGAACTTGTTCTAAGGAAAACACTTATACTCTGCAGTTGTTCTATGTCTTATACTCACATTGGTGACTCTCATCGTAATGATAGCATAACGTAACAAATGGCAGTCATAATTATGCATGCAAAACGGAAATAGTTACACACACACATGCGAAAATAAGAACTTACACATTACATATGTATATGTTTCCATACTGAAAAGTACTTACTACTAATACCACTGCTATTTCTGCTCACACTGTAATGTTAAAATTCATGGCTTAATACCAACATCACAGCAATGTATGCAAAACAGAAACTCACACATGCACAGCATATACATATGTATGTATATAAGTGCACACATATATTTACATATTCATAATTCACAATGTGTGAAAAAACGTCAAATGATAAACGCGCCACACTCAATTACTACAGCGCTTACCAACTGGCGGCAACTGTTGACTGAGTGGCAGCTTTGTTGCTTTAATTTCAATACTGGCAATACAGATAAAATATGTACACACACATATACATCGCATGCCTAGTGTGAATGTAGCTGTGTAACTTTCTTTTTGTGTCATTGAACGCAGAGTATTTTGAAAAACCACCCAACAGGTGCTGCCCACCCGCTCGACTCCATTGTTGTTATTGTTGTTTTTACTTGGCAAATTACATACAGTCTGTGCTACGCTCACACACTCTCACACACACACACGCACACCAACACGTAGCTAGTTCTTTTTTTTCCCAATTGTTTGTAAGTTTATCAACAACAAGCGCTTCGTATTTGGCCTTCTATGAAACCAGTTTTAAAGGTTTCTTGGCCTACTCTTTCCGCTCAACGTTTAGCTTTCTTCTGTTTTGCAGCGTTTCGCTGATGACAGCTATGCCGCCGGCTATCTCTCCTCTCTCTGTCTCTCTCATGCTGTTTGCCCCTTAACCACTCTGACACTGATTCATCAAATGTTTTTCAACGCATTTTCGAGCCCGCTTCTGCGGCTTTTGCCCATTTGTCATGTATGAATTTTCTTTTCTCGAGTCTGCAGCAAAACTTAATTATGGAAACCGACAATTCATATACATACATATTTACCCTTTATATGTACATACATACACACATACTTATACATACATACATACATAGCAAATCAGCGTTATCGGCGCACATTTAGTTGTCAATCAATGTGGACAATGTTGCGTCACCTGTTGCCCATGTAGGAAGTATTCTGTGCTTATCACTCGGGTGGGAATTGGGTTACTTGGCTTAAATTATATTGTACCATATGCTAACATTATGTACGTATATCTTGTCACTTTTGCAGATAATGTGGATTATGAGGAGTCAAAGTCGCTGTTCGAGACAAATTATAGCCATGTCTATTTCATACTCTACGACACCTTCATTCAGGCCGAGGCCAACCTTAAGCAAAAAGGTAATTATCTATAGTAAATCCAAAAAGAAATAAACGAAAGAGTTGTCTAGCTCCCTATATACCCTCTACTCATGGTGATGTTAAGGTATGGGGTATGTTAACGTATTGCAAATATATGTTAACCCCGATCTTGATAAGGTGAAGGAGTTATCATCATTGTCCGAAATATTTCTATACAATAACGTAATTTAAGTTCGCTTCAATTCTATTTTCTTTTGATAAAAAACGATATGCAGACTATCGAAGATTTAAGAAGTATGTAAATTAAAATTAAATTAACCAATTTTAAACGTTTCTAACATTACCATGAAATATATTTTATTATGTATTTAGCAACTTAAAAATGTGTATGGGGTATTTGCTAGTCGATCATATGCGACTAGAGCAGTTTTATTTATTTTTTTGTTCTTTTCTTTTGGTCCATTCTAATTTGTTAATCTTCTTCTACCAATTAAATAAGCCAACTGCGTTTAAATTAATGGTTGCTTCTTGTTTGTGTCTTTTATCTATACACACACACACACACACGCACATATATATACACGGATACATATATTAGTTTGTTTATTCAGTTTAAACCCAAAAAAAGAAAAAAGAAGAAAATTATGCATAAAATAAGTTTGATAAAAATTGTGTAAATTGAATTCGTTTTAAATATTTTTTGCCCTCTCTTTTGTATACCTTAACCGGCAGAACTTCCGTTTCACATTGGTAAGTTTGCGGCGTGATCTCTTATTGACTCGATTCAGTAATTAATCACAGTTGCGACATTGCTTTGATCTTAAGTCTATCTACCTATTCCCACATTGTTTACTATATATTTTTACTCATTCGTCTTTCTATACATTTTTCTAATTTCTTTCCTCTTCGTTTTTATCGCGTTAACAGAGCTCATTATGGTGCCATTTCGCTAGAGTTTAAGAGCCTGTTTCATTCTAGCGTTCCCTGGGCGATTTGCATATTATTATATGTAGATAATTTGTATAGTATTAAATGGGAAAAAACACATTGTCTAACAGTGTATTTTTAGTTTAACACATTATTCCATTCCAGCATTCCCTTAAGTATATGCGAACAAGTCATTATATATATGCCACTTTTATTTACTTGCCTCGAAATAAATAGAAATTAAATTTTGCTTAGTTTTAATGTGTCATTTCACATTCCACAAAATTTGTAACATCTCACTCTTGCTTTAATATATTATAATATAATATATAAGATCATACTATATTTTGATTACCTAGTCCTTAATATACAATATAATTATTTTATATATATTTTGCGAAAGTATTACAATTCATTCCATAATTTCAACATTTCTTTGATTAAAAAAACGTCGTTTGTTATTTTCCCATATTTTCAAGTTCCAATTTCATTCGTTCCATGGAAATTATGACAAATATTCAACCACTTCTTCTAGCTTATTTTTCTTATATTTCTATTTTAATGAAACTTCTTAATTGAAAATGCTATCATACGTTCCGATTTCATTCGTTTCATGTATATAATGTCAGATTATTATCTTTTAATGAAGATACCTTCATCGAAAATGGGGAATCTGTTCCAGTTTCATTCGCTTCATGACAATTTTTGGCATAATATAATTTGAAGTTTGCTAAGCTTTATGGAGTTCCACTTGAATGAGGAAACATTCATTCCATTACTCTCTATGTACACGCTTTGTCTCTCTCGCACTCGCTCTCTTGCATTTTGTGCTTGTCCCCGGCCTTGTGGCATGTGCTTGTCTAGGATTCTCTGATGGATTGCCTCGAATGATTTTCTGGCCAATCTTAGCTCTTTAATTGACAAACGTCTTTTATCTCTATGCAGTGCACAAGGCGCATCGCGAGGAATTGGATGGCTCGCTATGGCTGTTGGAGAAGATTCTGTGCCTGCTGCCGGAGCTGTTGGCTCGTCGCTGGCAGTGCCACTCGCTCAGCAGGATCATGGCGAAGCTGCTCCATTTGGGCAACTCGCCCAAGCTGCGACGCGAGGGTGTGAAGTAGGTATATAAGATAAAAACCAAAGCCTAGCTAAATGCTCTCCATTTTTCAGATACTTCCTGCTGTGGTACCAGACGTTGGGCGACAATGCGCCCGGCTATGTGCACGCCATGTATGCGGATCTCATACCCGGCCTCATTGTGCCGCAGAAGGGCATGGTCGGACCCGATACGGAATTCAGCGCCTCAGACTTCCTCTCGCATCCCAATATGAAAGCAGATGGGGGCATGGCCTCCGTTTTCCATGACAACACATTTTCACATCCGGTGCAGAGCTCCGAGGTGGTTGCCTTGCTGCCGCCCTCGTCCAGCGAGAAGTCCGCACCGCCAGATCCACGGGACGGCCTTGAAGTCCTGCTTAACAGCATGGTGCAAACCGCTGCGTGTCTGCGTTGGCGCGACAATCGAACGCAGAAGGATCATAAAGCATTTGCGTTTCTGCTGCAACGGTTTAAGGAGGTCTTTCTGCCCGTGTTCTCGCCGAATTTTGACGCGACCACCTCGATCTATAATCCACGTCTCGAGATGCCCGTCATGCGGTCGATACACAAGAAGGAGGAGGTCATGGCCTCCTGCGTGGTGGTGCTTATCAACTGGGTTTCACGCTTCACGCACGAGCGTCTGCTCAGCCATCGCCTGGACTGTGCCCTGCACATCGAAGGCGTGGATCATGCCCGACTGCTGGGCTATCAGCAGGGCCTCATTGTGCGTGATGTGTTCTATGTGAGTCGCGAGAACATCAACTTTGTGCACGAGGTCTATCGCCAGGCGTTCCTGCTAAACTTCACATCCAAGGCACAAATCGAGGCCATACGCACGGCCATTGCTGTCTACCGGGATTGGATGACGGGCACAACACCGCCGCCGTTCCTGCTGGAGCCGAATGATGAGCAGGGCACAGCCGCTCCAACGAGTCTCAGCAATGCGGGCGGCACGCCACGCAGCCAGCGTTTGAGGACACCCTCCTATGTGGGCGCCATGCAGGGCAACAGAGAGCAGCAGCAGGTCCTGCGCGCCGGCATGCAGAACGTCCTGCAGGTCTTCGTTACCAATGCGGCCAATGTGTTCCTCGTGAACACGGCCAACTTGAATATATGCTTTCCCACACGCTCGCGGGACTATCGTTCGACGCCGCTGCAGGAGCAGACGGAAATCTGCAAGAAGGTGCTGAACGTGTATCGGACCATGGTGATGAACACGCGCATGGAGTCGCGCACCTGGGAACAGATGCTACTGGTCTTGCTGCAGGTGACGTCTGTGGTGCTGCACCAGAATCCGCCACCCAGCGGCTCGAAAAGCGCCAGCCTGGGCGGCATTCTCGGCTCGGCCATATTTCAGACGCTCATCGTCACCTGGATACGGGCGCATACCAATGTGCCGGTGAATGTGATGCTGTGGGAGAAGTTCCTCACCGTGCTGCAGTCGCTGACGCACCGCGAGGAGCTCATTGTCGAGTGGAGCAAGACGATACAGACGCTGACGCGCGTCTTCTCGCGCTATACCTACGGTATCAATCTCTTGGATCTGCCGCTGGATCGCGTGGCCGAGACTCGCGGCAAGCGGCGACGCATTGGCAGCGTCTGGCAGGGCTCCGGCAGCGCCGCTAGCGCTGGCACCGGTGCGACTGCCAGCGTACAGCGGGAGCGCGAAAGCATCGCCGAGTCGAACAGCAGTCGCTCCGACGAGAACTCGCAGGCGGGCAGCAATAACCAAGCACCGTTGCTGCAGCCCGCCAACCGCACGCATCAGCACTCGCAGTCCCATGGCGGCTCTGGCCATGGCGTGCGTCCTGTGCCACTGACGCCCATGCTCAGTCGCAGCTACAGCGAGGGCAGCCTGGCCTCGGCGGCGCGCAATTCGCGTATCCGCCGACGACGCCCTGTGGCGTCCAAGACTGAGGCCGCAGCGGCCATACGCTCGGGATTGGCTGCGCCGAGCAGCGGGCAGGATATGAGACGGGCCATGTCGCTGGATTCGCTGGCGCCTATACGTAAGAGCCGACGACGTCGCGGCTCGCAGCAGGCCGTGGACGATATGGATGGCTATCAGGATGGGGTCGGTGAGGTGGAGGACACTGAGAGCGGCGCCGGCTCGCGCAGTCCGTCGCCGACGGCCAGCAGCGGCATCGAGGGCGGCTCCATCAAGGATGCCCAGCTGCATATCGATGTGCTGGCCGCGGACTCTGGCAGCCTGGAGGATGGCAACTCGGGCAGCTTTGGCGCTGGCAACTGCGGCTCCGAGCGACGCTCGATTATGCTCGGTGGCACGGCGACGGGCTGGCTGCCCGACTCCACGTCCATCATGTGGAAACGCATGCTGGGAGCCCTGGGTGACGTGAATCGCATTCCCAAGTCAGAGCTGCATGCGCAGGTCTTCAAGCATCTGCTGGAGATGACCCAGAACCTGATCAAAATCAAGCAGAATCAAGGCATCTCAACGGACAACCAAAGCACGCCGCCACCGCCACAGCTGGTGCCGCCGATTGGAATTGTGGCACCCTGGTGCTACGGCGCCTTGACCCTGGATCGTTCCTTCAAGAAGGGCAAGCTCTGGGCACTGCAGTTGCTCTGCTCCTTGGCCGTGCAGGGCGCGGTGGGCATGCAGCAGCTGGCGCTGTTCTATCACGCGCTGCATCAGCTGCTGACGGGCGAGGATCGGGATCTGATCTATGCGATTATGAAGCACCTGGAGGGGCCGCGGCTGCTCAGCCTGCTGCTGCCGGGACACACGCTCCTGCTGCTGGATCTGGTGCATGCCAGCGCCATATTGCTCACCTCGCTGGAAGTGACGCGCAACACACCGCGCGCCGAGGTGGCTGCTCTGCTGGGCTCGTTGCTGGCCTATCCGGCCACACTGTTGCCGCGACCCGTGCTGCAGCCGACGCCGCAGCAATTCGAGCTGATGGAATGCCCCGATCTGCAGGATCACATACTCAACATAATGCTGCGCTGTGCCCGGCGCGAGCCCTCGGCGAAGGCCCGCTGCATTGCGCTCTGCCAGCTGGGCCAGTGGCTGCTGCTGCGTCTGTCGCAGCCGACGCGCAATTCGCAGCAGCGCGACAAGTTCCAGCAGTCGGTGCCCCATCCCAAGGATGTCCAGCTGCCGAAGGATACGAGCGCACAAAGCTTTCATCCGCGCATACGGGAGGTGCTACAGGTGCTGCTCCAGGCGCTGCAATTCAAGCATCACACCATCGCAGTCATCGCCGTGGACGCGCTCAAGCTGTGCACGGAGCGTGGACAGCAGCTGGCGGCCATTGAGCGTGTGCCACAGCTGATCATCACGGCACTGTGCCGGGCCCTGGAAATACAGAACGTGTCGAAGCCCAAGGATGCGGACAAGGTGGTGCTGACCTCGTTGATGCTCTGCCTCGGCGAGTTCTGCATGGCCATACCGGCTGCCCTGATGCTGGCGCCCTACAACGACCAGGGCGACACGCTGGTGCTGCAGGTGCTGCGGGTTCTGCTGCAGGTGGCGTCGGGCGCACCGCGCCACGAGCGCGTCAAGCTCACATCGGACGAGGATTTCGACATGCACATTGCCAGTGACGATCTGCAGGGCGATGGCCGCCTGCCGGAGGCTAGCTACCAGACATCGGAGACCATACAGGCCTGCATCTCGGCGATTCGACTGTGTGCGCGGGCCGTGGCTATGCATCTGGTGACGCATCTGGGTCACTTTCCCATGGGCATTGGTGCTTCGCGGCTGAGCTCGATGGTGGAGGAGCAGGATGACATCTATGGCGTGGCCAGCGGCGGTCAGTCGGGCAGTCAGCTGGAGCGACGCGACTCTATGGAGCTGCCCTCGGTGGTCAACGCACAGAATCTGCAGCTGTTCATGCTCAACACGGGCGTCGTGGCCAGCTTTATAGAGCTGCCCACGCTGAAGCTGCCCGGCGGAGGCATTACAGCCGGCCTGGTGACTGCCGAGAAGCAGGTGCGTGTGCTGATGCGTGACTTGAATGGCAAGGCGTGCTGGGATGCCTCCATACTGTACTCGGAGCCGCGCAAAGACAATGCCATACCAACGCCGGCGCATGCACAGTACAGCTCGGAGCGCTACGATGGGCCGGCGACGCTGGCAAAGGTATGCCAGTCCATGGACTCGTTGCACGTGCAGCAACAGCAGCAGCCGCAGCTGCCGCGACACACGCTGCGCCATCGACCGCCTGGAGTGCTGCCACTGGCCAAGGATGTGGCGCCCGATCTGGACCAGCTGGACGACATGCTGGCCTACATAGGGCACACCAGTCCTGAGTGCGTGCCGCCCAACATCTCGGAGCTGAATGCGCCCAGCCTGAGTCCGCTGAGCAGTGCCCAGGAGGCGCAGGCCATATCCGTCATACTCAATCAGCGCGTGCTGGAGCAGGAATTCGTGGCTCACTCAGCCCAGCAGCCGCTCACGGGCGCTGGCTCCAGTTCGTCGCTGCTGCAGCCGGATCAACGGTCGCTGCACAGTGCATCCGCTTCATTTGATTCGTTTACGGGCGCTGGCAGCTTGCCTGGCCGGGTGGAGACACCATTTCAATACTGTCGCCTGCTGTTCTCCCATCTGGGTCTGGCCGGCTGGGAGCGGCGCTCGCGCACTCATCTGCTGCAGCGCAGCGAAAAGCTGTTGCGCGAGCTACGCAACGTGGACCTGCAGAAGTGCCGGGAGACGCACAAGATGGCCGTCATCTATGTGGCCGCCGGGCAGGAGGACAAGACGAGCATCTTGCGTAATACGAATGGCAGCAGCATGTACGAGATGTTCGTCTCGGCGCTCGGCTGGGAGATAGAGCTGGAGACGCACAATGGCTTTCTGGGCGGCTTGCCGCGTCAGGGCTGTGGCGCCACAGCACCCTACTATGCCACGCCCTTCCTGGAGGTTGTCTACCACGTGGCGACGCGCATGCCCTCGGACTCCTCGGAGGCCATGCTGCTGAAGACACGTCATCTGGGCAACGATGAGGTGCACATTGTTTGGAGCGAGCATCATCGCGACTACAGACGCGACATACTGCCCACAGAGTTTTGCGATGTGCTTATCGTTGTTTATCCGCTGCGCAACGGTCTGTTTCGTGTGACGGTCAATCGCAAGCCGGAGGTGCCGTGGTTTGGGCCGCTTGCCAACGAGAGCGTTGTAAGTGGCGCCTGCCTGGCCACGCTCATACGCGCCACGGCCATCAATGCGAGTCGCACCAAGCGCGCCGCCCTGCCGCTCTACCAACAATTGTGAGTAGAGCCTTGAGTTGCCTTTAGCCTGTGCTCTAATCTCAAATATTCCCCTTTGTTTTTGCTTAGCTATGAGGAGCGTAATCGTTCGCTGGAAAGCGTCTCATCACGGTACAAAGAGAGCACCACGTTCGAGGACTTTGCCAGTCGCATTTACAACCCCATGCCGGTGTCCATTCTGAGCACATTGCGTGAATCGAATACGAGCAGCTCGGCTGCACCGCTGGCCGCCGCCTTGATTGATCATAATCGCGTCTCTGTCAAAGGTATTCTTGATTGCCATTTAAAGCTTTGAATCGGTTTGTTGACTCTTTGGATTCGTTTGCAGGTTGGGTACAGGCATCCATCGACGCGGGTCCAACGCTGGGCATAGCGCCCTCTGCCTCAGCTGGGTCGACGGCAGCCATGGAGGCCAACTCTAATAGCAGCATTACCTCGGCATCACCTCGCGGTCCTCGAAAACTGGGCGCGCCCTTTAAGGGTGTGACCAAGAAGCATTCGCTGCAACACATTGTCGTGGGCGGCAGTTCCGGTGGCAGTGCGGCAGGCGATACGCCACCAGAGAGTCCTACACTGCCGCAGCGGCGCATCAAATAGACTAAATTACGTACTGGCTAACGTTGCAACAACAACAGTTGCAACAACAACTACAACTACAACTACTAATATGTAATAACATCCCCTAACTTAACTCATTCCCCACTAAAGAAACACGAAAGTCCAGAGCCAGGCGGCTACTCGAATAGCCAACAATCCACGCGGAGTTCTATTGGAACAAGAATAGTATTGCAACAATAACAAAAGCACACACACACGTTTCCTGTTATGTTTTATGATTTCTTATATTGCTTATTGATATTGTAATTTATTTCACTCATCTCGTTGCTAATTTAGTCCAACTAATCACCGTATTTAACTATTTATTTGCCAAGATTCCAATTTTCAACTATGAAATGCATTGGAATTGTGAGAGAGAGAGAGCTACGTATTAATTTGTAAGTTTGTTCGATTTAAAAACAATTCCATGTTACTTACGTCCTCTCAAGTCTAATTACAAATATTCTATTTTATGATTTTAATTAATTTTGAGCTTTATCCATTATGAGAGCCTAATTTATATACAATTCATAATTAACTTGATTTTAATAATCCATCAAGCTTTGTTTGTTGTAATTTTGTTTTGAATATTCACTAACACCCATGCTATTCTACTCATATGATATAATGTCAACATCTGAATGTTTGATCTATAGTTAAGTGTTAAGCACAAAGCAACAAAATCAAAATTTATTTATACATTTTACAATTCGAGAATCCAAACACCATATATATTTAAAGAATGCTCTGCCCATTAAGGAAACCACATTTACTCGTAGTATTATATGTAGTCGAAATCTATGTATAGACAATCTAGCTAGTAAGTAACCAAAACTAAATGTCGATCTATCGACTCCAATTTGTTCAAACAATCGGGTTTTAATAATATATATACTATACTGTATATATGTGTGTAATATTATATTGCAAACAAATTGTTAAAAACAGAGAAATGCTAGCACTTTTTTATTCTATTGTTCGGCAAATAATTTCAACAAATTGATCAAATTTATATATATACAAAAATATATATATCTATATATATACAGAGTATATTAATTTTATATTTATTTATAGAGCGGGCAAGTAAACAACAAAAAAGAAAGAAGAAATGTAATTGCAATGCGTTTTTGTTGCACAAATGTTTTATGAAAATTTTAGTCTAATGTAACACCAATATTTAGCAATTATCTATGTGTGTAAGAACTTTTTGTAAAAAAACCAATAATAATAATTATAATAAAAACAATAAGAAAATTTCGTAACCTAAGCTAAATGCAAACGACAATTCTTTGTAACTAACACCAAGTAAACCGCGCATTATACAAAACTAAAAGTAAAACATTAAATCTAAACTAAACTAACTAACTTATTTAAGAAACAAACGAGTATTTTTCATAAAATAAAAATGCAATTTAATTCAAAGAGTTACAAAACGCGATTAATTTTTCTTAACTGGATATATGCAAGGATATATTGATTCTATGATGACATATGATATCATTATATAAAGGTCAGGGTATTTTCTAGTTGAGTGCTGCCCTCTAAGCTTCCTTACATTTCATTTTTTTTAGTCTAAACAAATGCCAGGTGTTGGTTTTGTTTTCAGGACTCTACTAATTAACAGTAAAAAACTTAGCTGGGCACGCATACGTAATACCCCGCACAGGGATCTGAAATGTGTCCCAAAACGCTGACTGGGTCGGTTATTGGCACCGGTGCGTGCAGGTCCTTCATTTAGGGGTGACTTTTGGCTAACACACATACACACGCACACTCTATTGCTCTGCCTAGACAGAAGACTGGCTGTCTGTCTGTCTGTCTGACTGAGTCTGGCATCTATGCTCAGTTTCTTACCACCGACTAGTGACGCCAACAAATTAGAATTTGCCTTACACACATACACACACACACACACACACACACATACACTGACACACTCATACGCTCAGTCGCGTTTCTTGTGCCGTTTTCACAGTTCACGTCGAGCATTCGTTACGTTTGAACGTTTATTCGAACGCGGTCGCTTCTGCTGAACATCGACTTGGCTGGATTTCGAGTGCTCTTCAATAAAAAAATACAAATAAAAATAAAAAATAAAAGCGAAATAAAAATGCGCAGCCAAGTGCTAAGTTTTTGCATTGCAATTTTGTTAATTGTTTGCCTCATGTAGAAGGCACTTCTAGCACGTAAATAATAATTATGCCTGGCACAGTTCTATTACACTTGTATCGGAGCGCACAGTATGACAGCGAATACGCTGAAGAGCACGCCGCACAGGATACGCCGGATAGGCGAAAGCCTGCAGATGTTGACGCAGGAGGCGCGACGCACAGTTGTGCGTTATGAGTGTAAGTATTTTATCCTCAGGATACATTTTAATGGCTACATTTCAAAGGTCATAGTGATAGTTGAATTCTAGTTACGAGAATGTATAAATCCTATTTAATGAGGGAACTATTTTGTTAGGATTAAATTGATTGCAAATAGTTAAATTGTACAATGCAAAAGTATTGTAAAATTCTATTTACAATTCTACTATATGCATTTTACATTTTGTTGAAGCTATAATGTGTGAGTGGAATTGCCCATAGAATTAGTTGGAATAGCTTCATTGCATAGATAATAGTCGTCAAATTCATGTTTATGGTATATATGCGAAAAATGTTAAATTCTAATTTATTAATATCTAATAGCAATTTATCTTCAGAATAAAATTTTAGGAATAAATTTTCAATACTAAAACAAATATATTTTTAATATTATACATTTTTGAAATCTTTGATTAAGTTTAAACATATATACTCTATTTTATCGTCAGGATAAAATGAAAACCATTGCTTAACCATTTTTTAATTTTTTCTTGAATATAATTATTTTTTAAAGCAAAAATTTAATGACAACAAAACTTAGCTATACGTCATGAGTCTATGAGTCAATTAATTATATGCTTTGTAACTGATTCAGTGTTGCTGATGTCCTTCAGCTGTTCTAGATGTAGTTTGCATTTAATCATGTCAATATGATTGATTATCAGATGTTGTTTATCTATGGTGCAATATATCTAGTTGCTCATGTTTTTTGTATCTGTATCCGTATGTCAGTTGCCTGTAGAAGTGTAATAAATCCATGAAATGTAGTCATAGCTATTACTAATTTGCATAAGCCGACAACGTCATCGCCAATTTGAAAGCCACGTTTCTATTTTCACACATGTCCAGAGGAAGGTAAATAATGAATGGCTGTTTATATTTATGTGATGTAAATATGAACATGTGTATGCCTGTATGTATGTATACAAGTTTTGTTTAGAATTCTCCATTAGCAAGATGACAACACAAATTTTAGATTTGTAAAAACATAGGTACATATATACATTCATATATAAATGTGTCGCTACTTTCAATCAGCATATTTAACAAGAAATGAGTTCAGGGAATATTTCCTGTTGATATTTTAAAATAAATATGTATACATGGAGTATATATGGCTTTAGAGTGTGTTGAGGGCTATGTTTCGCACTAAATGAATAACACTTCTTATCATGTCGACAAAATGCTCGTACGGTCCACTGTGTACACACATTTATTGTACTATATATATGGTTTTGTATATACCCTATAATATTTATTTAAAACTCTTTCCCCAAGTGAACACAGAAAACTCATATCGCAATCACTGTCCGCTAGTTTGCTCATCCGTACATCTATCTTAAGTACATATCTTAAGTGTACATATGTAGTCGTGTATACCCCTGTCTCATTAAAGGTCAAGTTCAGAGTTCAGTATGAATGCCATTATACTTTGGACGCTTTTAAAATAAGAAACTTAAAATGTTAAATATCACAAAGTATTCTAAACCTACTAAACTCATAGCCTAATGACCTCTGCCGGATGGGGAATATCAAAAATACCGCAGATTCTCTTACAAAGATGAGTGGTATATTAATTACTGTTGAAAAAGAAATAGTACATATAGAAGCAATACATCTAGGTCTAGGATCACCAAAGATTTCAAATGGATCAAAACTTTTTTCAATATTTAAGTTTATAATTTAGGATCTCTAACCTATCCAATTAGTATCATAATACTATTTATAATAACTTTTTATTCCACTAGAGCTCTGATAGGATACAAAACTAGAGCAACTGGAGTATTCAACGTATACATAAATTGGGATCACTTAGCCAATTCATCCACTATATATCTATATGTATACTCAACTAATATTTTTCCAAATTTAAGCCATTAATGTGCCTTGAACGAGTATTATACAGTTGCTTCTAATTTCTTTTGTGTAATATTCATTCCGCTAAATAGTTAGTAATTGCCATGCAGCTCGAACAAATTGCATTCGATAAGCAAATGAAATGCGAAAATGAGTTGCTAGAAACCTTAGTGAAAATCTTTATCAGCAGCCAGAAGAAGTTTTTTTGTAAAACTAAAAGCAAAAAAAAAAAAAAAAAAAAAAAAAAAAGAAGAAGAAAAAACTAGACGTGCGCCTAGCACGCGATGGAAATGCATATTCCTTGGTGGCTCACATACACATGGGAATTGGCCCATTGTGGTTGTTAATTAAGCTCACCTTGAGCTGTGTAAGCGGCTTTCATTTTCAAGGTCATCGCCGATAATTGCGCCCATAAAAGAGAAACCAACTCACAAAAACTCAATATCAACCGCGAGGAATTCGAATACCTTAAAATAATACTTGAAACTCTTCTAAAACTTTAAGTGAGAACTAAAAAAATTATGCTAGAAATTTAGCTGGGCCACAAAATTACGCATACGCCCGCATCATCGCGCCGAAATGTGATTCGAGCATCAAAAATAATAACAACACAGAAAAATAACAAACAAGAATGAGAATACAAAAGCAAAACAAAAACGTGGAAAACAACGACAACAACTCGAATAACCAGTTGCAGGCTGACAAAATCAAAACAAAACTCAGAAGCAGCGCGCTCACACAATCTAACTCTCTCGCTCTACTCACCTTTCGCTCTCTCTCTCTTGCTCTGTCTCTCATGCTTTGTCTCTCTTATTCTTTGCTTCGCTGCTGTTTGAGTGAAACGCTGGAGAAATATGTTTTCACAAACGCTAGCCGCCGCCTCAGTGTCTAAGCAACTGCCTCGAGCTGCAGTTCGTGTTCCTCGTGCCTCGCGTGATTTTCGTTTCATTTATTTGTTTGCTTCGATACGACAACACAACGAATCGGTTTTGTTTTTCCAACGCTTGAGCGCATTTATGCAAATGTTAGATACGACATTATGTAAATAGCATAAATATTCAATGAAATTGCCCCTATTATTTTTTGGGGTTTTTTTTGGGCTGACCCTGAACTGCGACATGCACGGCTGGAGTTGGGCGTCTTGATTGTCTGCGCCAAACAAACTTCTATTTATAGAGCTAATGGCATGTCATAGCCGTCTGTAAGGAGTTTGGGGCACACGTCCCCAAAAACCTAAAAAAAGGTGTTAATTTAACGACGCATACGTCACACAAATTGAATGCCATCAAATTGTCCGAGAAGAGAAATACGCAAATTATCTTCATTACGAATTTCAGTCTTTGAACTGTTTGTTGTGTACTTTTTGCGTACCATTTCTCAGCCTTGAGTGGGCCGAATATTGTGCATATTCTAATTTTGGACAACATATTTCGAATGAAAATCAAGTCCCTTAATCAGTCAATCAGCTCATAAATTTAATAGAAGGGCAATCCTTCAATCTATCAGTCCATCAATCAGACAGTCATGCAAGTAAATATTCACTTATTGAGCGGGTTATTCTATTCAGTCAATCATTTATTGAGTCAATTAGTCAATCATTCATATAGCTAGTCAATCAAGCTGTTAGTGAATGAGTCTAAGAGTAAGGCAATCACTGAGTTAATTAGACAGTCAACCAGAGCTAGCTAATCAGCCAGTATTAAGACGATAGTCAATCAGTTCATCGTTTAATTAGTTAGTCTCTTACTGAGAATCAGTCAGCAGTCAATCTAGTGTCTAGTCAATCATTCAATTAGTTAATTGGTTATTGTCCTCAGCCATTCAGTCAATCAATCATTCTGTCTATTTTTCAGTAAACCATTCAATCAGTGAGTTAATCAGCTAGTCAATCAGTCAGCAAGTTTATCACTGCATTAAGCAATCATTCAATCAGTTAGTTAGTCTATCACTTTCACAGTCCATACTTTACAATCAGACAATCAATCAGACTTCCAGATATCAAAGTTACTAATTAGTTAGTCAATCAATGAGGCACTCAATCACTCAGTCAGCTGCTCAGCCTTTCGGGTTTTCAATCAGTTCCGTCACTGAGTCAGATCTTTACTATTCCATCTGCTTTGACTCTTTTGACTCTATAAATTGAGCTAGCGTCAATTTTACTTTATTTATGACTTTTGTTAATATTTATGGCGTTTCACACATGCACACACATTAACAGTTTATTGATCATTGTGTTTATAAATTTTCGATTCGCAATATCTAGCTTAGCTGCTATAAAAATCGCATTAAAACTAAACGAATGTGGCAAAAAAAATTTCAAAATTTATGTGAATTCAAGATAAATCACGTATTTCTTATGCCTTACATATGTAATCCAGACAACTGAAGCAGTGCGTAAATTAAATGCGAAAAATACATACTGTGGATTGTGTACAAAAAGTGTTTAATCGAGCATATATCGTGTTATATATCGTGTATATAGCAATATAAATACGAAACACCACATAAAATGCCAGCATGGAGCTGATAAGCAAATACAAACAGGGAAAGCTAACAACGGGCGATGTGCGCAATCTAAATCGTATGTGTGTTCCAACCGCTATTTGTACTTTACTTTATTTTGTATTTTTATTTTTTATATATTTTATAAGATTATATACATGTATAATGAAGATGTTCTATGCTGCAAACTATAAATATTTATATACTCTTGTTTTATTTTATCCAAGACCTTCGCCTACAAAGGGCGAACAGAAACAACCTTCAGCTGCACATACCTATTAGATATACATACATATATTTTGATATTCTAAGAGAATTTTTTAGGAGGCGCCTTCATTGGCCACCAAGTTGACAGCAAAAATATTTTTTGATCAATTATGGCAACTTGTTCGTCTGTCGCGCCTGTCATTGGGTCTGTCTCTGGTGTGGAATGCGCCTTTCATCAATAATGTTTTTATTATTTTTCGAAAATGTGTAAACGAATATTGATGAATGACTTTGACATTAAGGCAAGAACACACACACACACACATAGTTTAGCTTAGCATGGAAAAATGAAAACAAAAATAAAAAACAATTATATTCTTTTTATAGCATTTATTTTTATGAGCAGGCAATAGCAGGAGTTTGTGGCCCCAACTTATTGCATAAATGAGCTAAGGGCAATCAGATATGACCATACATACGACTTTTTGTTTATATGTATAAACATGCAACTCTAGAAAACTGTACACATATGTGTATGTATATAAAATCTCATATTTTTTGTTGTCAAGTTTTTTTGCATGGGACTAAGAGATGACAATGATATGAGCAGCATTGAATAAATTTAAGAGTCAGCAATTTATTAAATGAACTGCTGTATATCATTTGTATGTATACACACATATGCATGACTCAAAAAATCCATGCACAATTTCTACTCAAATTCCCTAAGCCAGAATAGCCCCAGCCTCATAAAGCTCATATCTGGGACACACTTAAGCTTCCCTAACTCACACTTAATATCGTAAAATCTACGTAAGCAAATAGTTACAGGTGCTAAATTGGCCTAAAGGCTTTGCCAAATGTGTTAATTTCGGTACTTTAGCACGCTAATTAGGTAGCGAACTGGCAGCACCTGGGGCTGCCCCCTTCGGCAGCCCCCGCAGCATTTTTGGTTCCTTTTGACTCTGACGTTTGGCGGCTCTATTTGTTTGCGCTTGCTGAAATATTAATAAACAATTAACTTGTGCAGCTAATGGCGGCAAGTGCTGTGTGTGGGCGCAGTTCATAAGCGAGAAATGCGCATACGCCATGTGGTTCAAGTCAACAGAATAAAAGCAATTGCAAATAACTCGAAGTAGCTTTCGGCTGAGATGATGGCAGCATCGCAGCTAGTTAAGCTCTATTAGCTCGAGAGTGTTTAGAGTTTTGCCAGAAATGATGTGGTCTATTTGTTAGTTCTAGGCGTATAAGACGCACAGCTGGCATCTTATGAATCAAAGCAATACTTGATTTGGATTCTGTTTTTGTTTTTTGTTTTTGTTTTTGTTTTGTTTCATATTGAGTTTCGAGCCGTAATATTTATTTATAACTCGCTTTATACGGCATTACGCCATTGTCTAGCGCCCATGAGCCATATTCAGTTACACAAATCGACAATTTGCCGCACCAAAAATAGTTGCCCGCGGTGCTAATGAGACTCTCGGCTAACATTTTGTCTAAATGGCCAAATCGCCAGTCCCCCTCGTCGGTCTCTTGGCGGCAAGAGTGGAGCCAGCTCTGGAGATGGGGCATGATGTCATTTGCTGCACCACATAATATCAGCCAGCCAACCACTACAGCTACAACTACAACTACAACTCAAACCATATGATGCAAACATTTCTAATTTATGCGTTCAATTGTGCATGAAGCCTACTCATTATTCGTTGTTCATTAGTCGTGAGCACACTCGTATATATGCATATTTATCAGTCTATTTGCTATTGAGTTTATGATTTTGCATTAATCCTTGCTGAACATGAAAATGGCTTTAAGTATAAAATTATAGACAAAATTTCCACATATGGTGAGACAGCAAAATATATTGAATTGAGCTATCACTGACTGCCTAATACTCGCTCAGAGCAAAAGCAATATATTTGTATATAAATAAATTAATATCCCTAAAACTATTTATATTTTAAGGGGCGAACTCTTAAGTTTTCGATATCTCAAAGTTGATCGATATCGATGACTGATAGATCTTTAAAATTTCCCAGAATCATTTTTCTAGAACGTCTTTAAAGTCTACTTCAAGTATCTCCTATGTATGTATATGTATATTCTATATTTCCCATATACTCTGAATACCTTATGAGCGGCTATACGAAAAAAAAAAATACCGCATTTTCATTTAGACTTTTATGATCGCACACATATTTCAATTTTGTAAATATGTTTGTTGACTTTTAGCCACAATGCATTTCTCATTTGACTGCCTGAACATTTCGTTTCATTTAATTTATTTCGCTCGGCGTTTTAACATTTGTCTGTGAACTCGGCGTGTCGGAAATTTAGCATCAATTGAAATGGATTTTATTGAGCAGCTTCGTCGCTAATTTCAACGTCATCGGCAAATGCTGTCATGTTGTTGTTTCTATTGTAATACCCATGGAATATGTGAATATGTGAAGGGTGGCATTGGCATTAAGCCGTTTAGAGTGTAAAAGACGAGAATAATAGTTCACATTTGGAATATTAATATATGGTATTATTAGTAAATAAAATATTTTTATTAGTAATAAAAATATTATATTAATTTTTACAATATCGATCAATATCAAATTTGAAATCAGGTTTACAAAATATCTCTGAGATTGTTACAGGTTACGAGTTGTCTAAAAAGCACTCCTGCTTGTAATGTTATACAAACAGAAATTAATATCGATAAGTATTCCCTTTTATAGAAGTTTTTGAAACCCTTTCTGAATCGTTTATGGTGTATCATTAAATGACTATACACTAAACAATAGTTTCCTGGTTAATGTACAAGATCATGTCTCTAATATCGATAAATATCGATTTTAATTATAGGGTATCTATCGGCTAGAGCCTGCAAATGTTATCGTTCGATTGCTTTCGTGGCTCGTTAACCAAGTCATACAACATCTGCCATGATATCATGCCTCCAATATAAACTCTGGCCAGCTAGTTTATGGACTGTGTATGTTCGTAAATGTGCGAGCCAGTGTGTGTGTATGTTTTTTTTTTTTCACAATGATTTCTAGTAAATTTACGAATATGTATACAAAAAGAGACGCCGCCACGTCTATCCGCAGCTCCACCTTCCGCTATTGTAAATGATGCTTCTCCGTTCGTGATGTTTCGCCAGCTATGCGCAATAATTTATCATGTTCCTACCAAAGAAATCAGCTATGCTAACCTTCGTCTTAATATAGTTGTAATAGAATATAATAAATCATTGGATATTAGCAATAAACTATATAGAAGAAATAGTTCTTCCTTATACTAGGCTGATTGTACCCAACAACATATTTAAAGTAATCTTAGCTTCATTTATTATTATTTATTTATTCCACTGAATTTGTAATATAACTATATCATTTTATAAAATTTTAACTATTGCCTCGCTATCCAGATATTGTTATATGTCTCATGGTGCTGGTGGCAATCTTTTCGATTATCTGGAGCGTTTCCTTGCACATGTTGTCGGGCGATTTCAATGCGGGAATCATCAGTGCCAAAATAACGTTTAAGGATCGCGACTTTGACCAACTGAATGCGAAGAGCAAAGAGATTATCAAACAGGATCTGCAGAATCTGGGACAACTGTCGTATGAATACGAAGAAACGCCGCAACCGCTGAAGAGCGACAGCCGTAAGTAGACTCGCCTATACGCTAGCTGGAGTGCATGTATAATTGCTTCTCGACAGAAACTAAGAAGCCAAAATACAAATTCGAACATATCTACGAGACAAAGGACAATGCGCTACTGCTAGCGCGTTTGGTCAGCGATCAGGAGCGAGCGCCGGAGGATGTAACAACCACAACAAATGAGCCGCCCAAGATTGTGCCGAATGCTGAAGCGGATCTCAAATTTCTGTCTAGCCGTAAGTGGAGCAGCAGAGCATGAAGTGATTGAGTCCACAACGTTTATGTCTATTGCAGAGTCTATAGACACACATGGCACTCGCTGGAGTCGCGGCATTGGCGCTCAATTTGTTTACGCCTTTCCAGTGATATCGGAAATTGTGGCCATTATCTGGACGGCCATGTGTCTCATCTATCAAACGGGCAGCAAGAAAACATCGTAAGTGTGAATGTTTATTAGAAGTTTATTTTTAATTTGTATACTCTGTTTAGAATTTGATACGGGGTATATTGGAATGGCGTGTCGGTCTGGTCATGAATATTGGAATTCAATTTAGAGCACGTTACGTAAAAGTTTTCATTTAGGATAGAGATATTTAAAGCGTAAGCCTCATTAGGCCTGCTCAATGGGGTATATTGGTTCTATGACTGTTTCAGAAAATTTATAAACCAAAGCTGGGCAAATAGGATGATTGATAAAACAAATGACTTCTGCCTTCGAGGTGTACTATATAGGGTGGTCCATATTGAACAGACCCATCTGGCAGCTCTACAAGGTTGACCATATTTGACGAACCAAAGTTTTTTTTTTTTAATTTTTTTTTTTTT